TATATATAATATCTATGCCTTGACACGAAGTTTAGCTTTCATAGCCCTTTCTTCTGCTTTCTCAAGAGATATTTCAGATGCTATCAGACGTTTATATAATCCAATTTGCCAATGTCCATATAGGAGAGTTCGTATTCCATCAAGCAAGATCTAACGCTTATTATCATATGGATTTAACCCTATCTTATTTACTTTTTCCAGATATATTTGATGATCATAATTGCGGAGACCATACATATTATGTCAGGTTAACTTCCTAGTCCTTAGACATTCTAGAAATTTATCATGTCGAAGCTCACTTTTGACCACACATTTCTTAACAACCTTTGCCTTTTGGATACCATGCTTCTTTTTTGGATCTTCAGAATCTGGGTCATCAGGAGTTTTAGGATCATGACCTGCTGAAAGAACTAAGTACATTTTTGGCTTTAAACATACTGATTCACCTATTGGATTTCCCTTTGTCTCATTCTTCATCAGAAATAAGTCACCTGAATAATCAAGATCGAAAATGTCTGGCCTTTCTGCTCGATCTTTATATATGTCCTCAGTTTCAATAAATATGATAAATGAGTCTGTATCAGTATATAGTAAACGGGCCTTATCTTCATAATGAGGCTTTATGTAATCATACCAAAAGTTGAACATCATGGCCTTGCTAATATCAAGAATTGCCTGCTTTACATAGATTGGCTTATTTAGAGTCACTGTGTCTTTTAGCATATGTACAGCTGTTATGCCTTACTCAAAAGCTTTAAAGCCTACATATAATGGTGAACTTGCTAGGCGCCTGATTTTTTATCCTCATTTGTACGAAGTAGCTTTACTCTCATATGCTTGTGAACATTTTCCATATGTTTACCAAAGACGGCATTATTCTTTAACTTATAATACATAACCCCAAACTCGTCTCCATTAGCTTTAGCTATTTTACGCTTGCGAATGTTTTCCTCAATATAGTTTTTCATCCAGGGAGACTGTTGGAATTTAAGAGCACCATGAATCTTTGTAATTTTCATTCAAAACTTTATGTATGTTTATAGAGCTTGATAATGCACTACATAATTCTTCTTAGGATAAAGAGTCTGAAGTAACTTCTCTCTAGACACATATTTTCCATTTCTAACTTCTTTATCATTTACTAATCTTTTGTTATATAGGCTAAGCCAGTTTTCTGGTACTATCTGCTTTTCCGGTGTTAGAGAATAATCTGCAAAAAAGTCATGTAAATGCACTGGGGCCTCTAAATCAACTTCTAACATATAACCTATTTTTGCATCTGGTGTAATGCTTTGTATATTGGGAATTTCTTCTGAACTTACCTTGCCCAAAATCTCTGTAGGCATATTTTGAGTTATTGCACCTGAATATAAAGCGTTCATATCTTCATATATGATTCAGAACTTTGGCTTACTGGACTCATAGTCTGAACATTGTGGATTATTTGCTTTGGCATATCGATGACTTACCATTGTCATTCCTCTACGTATACCATTCTCGATTATTAGATATTTATCCATATCTGTCATGAGTTTGAGCTCTGCATTACTGTTCTTATATAGTGAATCATTGAACATCCCTGGTGCAGAGATATAGTGAGAAGGATCTAAACCATCATCTTGCAAGCACATGATAGTGTAGTTCATGAAAACATCTGCAAGTAAAAGTACATCAGTCTCAAAATAAAGGTCATGATATTCTCCAAAGTTCTTCATCTCGAATACTTGCCATACCTTTTGAGCATGTTCATAATTCTCTTTACTAATATTTTGCTAACTAAGAAGTGAATAGAAGTCCTTTCTAGAAGGAAGGCTTGTTCTGTCGAATTTTTCTCATGCATTTGTTTAGTCATATAGAAAGACTCCTTTTCAGAATAGAAGCTTGATCTTGTCCATTAAATAGCCTTTTTCGGTAAAGTGCTTGATACTTAGAGGAAATCTTTCGAGCTTTCCTCCTAAGCACTCAACTAATTTATCTAGCCCCATTTCCATATGCTGAAAGCTATCTAAGAACAGAAGCTGTTCAACATCTATTACTTTATACTTTCCTATATTTTCTGGGATGCATTTTAGCATATCAGCCGTAAACTTGCTCACAACTTTCATGAGCAGATGAGAGTCATATCCCCAGAAATTATGGCAGATCAAAGATACTTTTGTCTCAAATAATCATATTTGTAACTTTTTGTTACAAGCATTATGAGCTGGATCTCGGTACTTCCCACTTATATGATCATGATCTTTTACCTTACAATTAAGTTCACTTAAAGCTTCTCAGTATTCTTTTTGTATCTTTTTCTTTTCTGGATGGTCTTCTCCTATGCTTGCTTCCCATTCTATGACTTCTAATAATCTGTGCTTAGCTTCTTCAAATTTTTGCAATACTTCTGAAGATGGCTTAAGAAAAGCTTTCTTGCAAATTCAACATTTAGTTGCTTTATTATATGCTTTAAGATCTCTAGATGCCATAATAATTTCAGCTGACGCAGATAATTCTTCTTGTATAGTTACATCTGGAACTTAAATGCAGCGTAATATTCCGTAGATTTATGATTTTCATAATATTTCAGAGTATTACATTGTAAAACTATGTGAGTTTATGAGTTTGTAAGATTTATGAAACATTACGGTGAAATCCTACGTAGGTTTACGGATCGTATTTTTTACGTATTATTACAGTTGAAATCTTATGGTATCGTAAGATTTACAAAACATTATAGTGAAATCCTACGTAGGGTTACAGTCATATTTTTTACGTAATATTACGGTCGAAATCTTACGTAGGGTTACGGTATCGTAAGATTTACAAAACATTACGGTGAAATCCTACGTAAGGTTATAGGATCGTATAAAATCTTACGTAGTAATACGATTTCCCATCATAAAATTAGTGATGCATGTATTGCACTATTTAATATATGCAATGAG